CTGAGTACTTTGTGTCAGGTTGAGGATATATAGGCTGAGGATACATGTAGTTCAGCAGTAGACCACTTGCCTGGCTTGCACAAGGCCTTGGGTTTGGTCCCCAGCACTATAAAAAATTTAAAAAAAAGAATAAAACAAAAAAAGTGTCAAGTGTGGCTGCACATTGAATTTTAAGATATATTTAGTTTTGATCAATTAAATTTAAGTGTATATAGTCATGTACAGTTAAGTGTCTTAGTATTCGATCTGTAAACAAAAAGGATCTTTCCTATCCACTCATCTTTCCACGGTGGTAGTAGGGTAATCCAAGCTCATACATTAATCTTCTTAACTTGTATTAAATACCCTTCTTTTCTTCTTACTGGGTGCTGAAGGTCTCTGTATCCCAGTTCTCCCTCGTTATCTTTACATTAAACATTTCAGTTTGTCAGGATGTCTCTTCTAGCTCTTATGTAGTGTCAAAACAGTAATATCCATAAGTATGTATGTTCTGGCCTTTTTCCTCCATTACTGGTATTTGTGTTTTACCTATGCAAACCCTTTTTGCAGATGAAAAGCAAAGTAATTTTTTACTTCATTTAAAGAAGATTGTATAACTGAGGATATATTCTTATTATCTTATCAGAGACAGCTGCTGTGTTATCATGCAGCCAAATGTTAAGCTAATCATCGTAATAATGTTTGCTGCTGCAAGCCACTGGTATCTATGCGTCAATCCTAGGCAGTAAAGCTCCTTTGGAATTCCCCCTATTCCTCCATTTTCACCCCCAGTGCTGGAGTTTGAACATAGCTAGCTAGAGCTGGCACTGGACCACCTGAGCCATACCTTCAGCTCTTCTTGGCCTGTGCTGATCTGGTACCAAAATCCTTCAGATCTCAGTCTTCTGAGTAGCTAGGAATAGAGGCATGAGCCACTGCCTCCTGGCAGAAGCCTTCTTTTTATTTTAATTTTTGAAGAGATTGTATTTAAGGTGTTTTGGGGTTTTTTTTTTTCATTCCTGGAGGATTCTATATTGAATTATAGTTCATTTTCTGCTTTCTCTTATAAAAACATTCAGCTTCTGAGATTTGATTTGCTTGGACTGATAATATAAGTTAGTTCATTTAATAAATATATAATGAGTACCTGCCATGTGCTAGCCATCTTTCTAACTGTTACAGAAATAAGCACAGTTGAGTAGACCTTGATTCTTGTTAGACCTGTTGTGTGTTCAGGAGAAACAGAAAGCAAGTAAATAAATCACAGACAGTATTGTATTGTGTGGAAGGAAAAGTATCAGGGTGATTTAGTAAAGCAGAGATAGAACTGGCAGTGGTGCTGCTCTTTTAGATTTCTTATCAGAAAAGTGGTGACATTGGCATCCAAACATCAAGACCTGATCTTAGATAGTGCTCATTCTAATGTGGCAATCCAAAGATTTTTTTTTCTTTTGACTTTTTTAGACATCTGTCTCCTTGAAACCTTCTAAAGTTCTGCTTCTTTGAACACATGTCTTGGGTAAGATCTTACTGATTGATTTTGGAGCATTTTTTGTTTTTCATCCTCCTCTCCTCATGCTATGTAAAAGAAAAAAGTAAGATCTGTTTTCTCTGATTCAGTCTCCCAAATGTCTGCCATTCTCAAAGTAAATATATACTTTGTGGCCTAACTGGACATTGAAAGGCAAATTTGTATCAAGCTCTTCTAATAAGGAATTGTACAAGGCTGATTTCATTTACTTACCACTTGCATATATCCTTTTTTGTATACCTCTTAGTTCTACAGAATATTTGGAATCGAAATGTTGTACTATCACTAGGCAGCATCATGCCTTTGATATTTTTTGGAATCCATAGAGAACTGTATACTCGTTGCTTCAGGCTTCTAGTATTGCTAGACTGGAACTGGAAGTATGATAGTAGTCACAGGCAGTGGTGTCTGTTTATGTTTTATCCTTAGGGTTTGTTCTATAGGAAACCCGAAATCTTTCCCCGTTTGTAGTCCAAACTTTTCATTCTTTTAATTCACAGATGAAACAAGTGGCAGTCAAAATTAAGGGGGCCTGGCAGACTCTTTCTGACATTATAGATGTCAGTTTCTGTCTTACCTCAAATATTCTGGCTTTGTGTATCTTTTTTTCTTTCTCTTACAAGTACTCCTCAGAGGAGAACATCAGGATCTCATCTGACCCTAGTGTTTAAAGTATTCTAATCACACATCACACCCACTGTTATCACAACTGCCCAACTCTTTGAAATACCAACCAATATCATTTGGAAAGAAAGGCTATGATGTACTAATGTTGTAAAGGAGTGTGGCGTATTTTTGGAAATAGTTACATTATGATAAAGAAATTAGTAGAAATTTCAGTATGATGTTTACTTATGTTCAAATGATGCCCCATAAAGAGTCTGTTTATAATAGCAATACAAGTATTACATAACTAGAGATTTATAATAGCTAGTAACATGTAAAATAGCTTAGAAAAGACCTAAGCACTTATGTAAGATCTTATAAAAAAAATAATGGTCAGTACTAATAGCACCAAAGGGACAAAAGGATTCAAAAGTTTTTCTACTAAAACATGTGAAAACAGTTTTTTAAAAAAATCCCAAAGTGCCTAAATATTGATAGAGTCAGTAGAGCAACTAGTTCTTCCCAAATACTGAATTTCATTATGAAAGCCACAGTTGCTAAAAGACTTTAGTATTGACACTTAACACAGATCACTGTATTTCAAATCAGTGGGGACGGAAGGGTCTCAAGTTATTCTACAACCTTGCCAGTTGTAGAATTACTTCCTAGTAATTTCTATAAGGATGAAGCCAATATCCACTCCTCTTTAATAGGATGAAATTATGAATGGAGCAAATATATCAATATTCAGAAGGAACCAGAAAAGTGAAAAACTCACTAGTGGATTTTAAAATTGAGCTCAGGAATGGCTATGGTTTGTGAAATAATTAAATTCTGAAAACAAATGACTAGGGAATGTGCCAGGATGTCTATTTCCTAATACCGAAGTTTAAAGCAAGATTCTATTTTATACCTATTTTGTGACAGAGTGGTACAATTATCCTCTAAGATATTAAAGCTCTTCTCTCTGCAATCCCCTAGCATATTTTCTCAATCGTATTTTAAAGGGTTTTTCCATGTCTGAGATACTACACACAGCACTTTGAATCCTCCAGAAACTTGGAAGAAAGGGCATTTGGTATTTAATATGTCAAAGTGGCAAATGGTTGTCCTCTCCCTAAATACACTTAGAAGAATTCTGAGAGATAAAATTATATTTCCCGGCACCATGAAAGCTTTGACCATAAATAGGAATGTTGCTGACTTTTCTCTTCATTTATTTGGTTGTGACCCTTAGAGTATCTCTTAAGTAGTCATTAATGAAATAAAAATAGCATGTCAGCGGGGCCATTGGCTCACCACTGAAGCACTAGCTAGTTGGGAGAGTGAGATCAGGAGACTGTGTGATTCAAGGCCAACACAGGCAAAAGGCTCACTAGGCCCATCTCACCCAGTAACTGGGTGTGGTGGTTGAGTCTGTCATCCCAGGAAGCAAAACAGAAGAGGATCAATTGAAGACTGGCTGGCCTAGGGAAAAAGTGAAACTATCTGGAAAGTAATCAGAGAAACAAAAGGTCTAGAGGTGTTGACCAAGCAGTGGAGCACCTGGATAAGGAAGCCTTGGCTTCAAGCCCCAGAATCACATACACACACAAACATACATGCATACCCTATTTCAAGTATAGCTTGCTTCTGGGAGGCACTAGCATAATAATGCAAGGCTTCATGCTTGCCAGGCAGGTATTCTGCTGCTTGAGCTGTACTTCTAGCTGCCTTGTTAATCTAGTTATTTTTGAGGTAATGCTGTGCATTTTCCCTGAACAGCCTGCATTTACCTGGTCTAGGACCTAGATCCTCCCATCTCTGATCTCCACCCGAGTAAGTTAGAATTTGAGGTTAGAGCAACCATTGCCTGGCTAGATGTCCTCTACTTTGGCTAAATGATTTTGTTTTTTAAACCTTGTTTAAGTTCCCATAGGGGAAAATGATTAGCTGTTGATCTATGTATAGTACGTTTTGTATTATTTAGGTTTTCCATCTTTTCTAATTGTCCTTCAAAAGCTAATCTTTCTCCTAAATAACTCCTAACAAAGACTTTGACTAGAACCTGGTCCTTTCAAAATTTCTTCAGAAAAAAATCTTTCTTTTGCTAGTTAATATTATCAGTAACGGTTACAAACACCCTGTTATTTACTTAATCTAAAGGCTGATGACAGTTTTAGTCTCATATTTCTTTTCAACTACATATCTACTTAGGCATTTGTTTCCATAGCAACTGAGATGCGGTTTTTAGCTAGGTCAAAACAGAGAAAAAACTGTAGGTGTAAAGGAATTTATTTTTTAACCTGGAAAGAGAAGGTATGAGGTAAGACCTTCCCAACTGTTACAGAAGACTATTTCCAAGAATTTTATATTTGACTGAAAGGTGGGTGACCACATTCATTACTTTTTTCCTTCAAGAGCCCATATATTCACTCTTCTGTGCCTAGCCCCAGGAAAGACTGCTGCTTGTGTGTTCTCCTACTTAATTACTGTTAATTAACCAAATTACCAAGGCAACAAAAAGAGAAATCTCCTTCTGTGGAGGAATTATTGAGTTCTCAGTAGATTTCTCTTTGAATGGAATGAATTCCTTAATAATAGATTTGGGTTTTGGTTGGGCGTGTCTCTTGTTTAGGTGTAGTTGGAAAAAAGACAAGGCTAATAACTTGACTCTATTAGAATTTAGGATGCATGTTTTAGAGATAGTAAGTGACTCAGTTGGTGAAATGCTGTAGGTATCCATGCAGCCACTAGAAAAGGCAGCATCAAAGAGGTGTTAAAGAACTTAATATTGTGTCTTCAAAGCTGTGTATAGCACTAAGTGGAAAACATTGTTCATTTTTTAAAGTTAATTGAGGCTGGAGCAAGACTATTATCATTATCATTATTATTATTATTGTAGGAACTACCTTCCGTTGAAGAGCTCACTATAATTCTGCCTGAAGATATTGAAGTAAAGCCTCTTGGGATGGTTTCAAGTATTATTGAGCAATTAGGTATGTAAATAATTTTATTAGCAAAGATTATATCTAAGCATGCACTAATCATTACATCACAAACTTGATAACTAGTAAAGTTTCTTTGAAATATATAACAACACTTTATGCATTAAGTTTGGATGGATAAAATTGAATTTTTACTTCCATGAATACATTATTTTTATAAAAACCTGTTTTCACTGACACGCTGTTTTCCCTTCCCCTCCTTTTTCCTGTTTCCCTCTTCTCTCCTATTTTCACTTTTTGTGTAGCTGGGATACAGGCCTTTTTACTATGCCAAACTTTATTAAGATGGAATCTTATAAACTTTTTGCCTGGGCTGGTCTTGAACTGCAATCCTCCTATTTTCTGATACCAAATAGTTAGGATTATAATCATGAGTCATTGTATCCAGTACATATGATACTTCTTTTTATTCATTAGCTTAACACAACTTCCAAAGGGCTGTTTACCCACTCCCTAAATTATGCATGTGCCTGTATACATATGATACAGGAATTTTCCTTCAGGAATCTGAACTTTAGCTGCTGATAAGACATAATTCTCTCTCATTAGCCCTGGACTCTGAAGACAATTCTTAGTGATTCTCATAGAAATTAACAGTATTTCTGCTTTTAGGTCTTCTTTGGGCCAACACATCTCCCTCTTTCCAGCCCACTCAACGTCTGTCATGCCTTTTCCCCAGACTCTCCAGGACCCTCCTCCTCTCTCCTTCATTCCTTTCCTGAGTGTGCAGATAAACCACTTGAAGACTACTGTAACCACAGTTGAGCAAAGTTATACAGACTCGCCCAATCTGTGGCTGTGTAGTTGTAGAGGGCAAGACTACAGGAGAGGCAGATGACTGGCAGTCAAGAGTCCCAAGGGCTGCCTCTTTCCTCTGCAGATCTTTCCGACTCTTGCAGGACCTAAGTCTTCATTTTGAACCTGAGACAACATTCGTTCACTCATTCAGGGACTGGAGGATTCCTGTTTTTGAGGTAGCCTCCTGTTGTGTCTCCCACCTTTGAGTTTATCTAATAAACATGTAAATTGAAAAAGTCTGTAAAGTGGAGATACATTGCTCAGCAGTGGAGTGATGGTAGCTAGCATGAAGTCTTGAGTTCAAACCCAGTACTGCCAAGAAGCATGTAAGCATTTGATATATCAGTAAATAACTAGTATTCTGTAGGAAAGAATTGTAGAATGAGAAGACAAATTTCTTCTAAAGCAAGAGTTTTGTGACTGGATGATTGTATTATTTTTGCTAATAGTGGTTTGAGATAATGATTGTTGGACTAATGAGTGATTAATAATATATCTTGTTAGATTTTATATTTTAATTCTTCTCTTGGAATTACCGCGTTTTTGTACTTTGCTATTTTATAACTAACTTTTATTTACGGAGGGAAAGTATTACTGAGATATATTATCTGACCTTAAATTACATTGGAATTAAATCCTAAATTCTTTCTAAAATTCTGTATTATCTTCTTATTAAGTCTTGAAATAATCTGATTTTATTTTTGTCTGCTTTTCAGTAATAATTGAATCTATGAGTAATCTGCCTCCAGTTAATGAGGAGACTGTTATTTTTAAAAGTGACCGACAAGCAGCAGGAAAGGTTAGTGAAAAACCCAAGTTATATGGTCTGTTTCCCTTTTGATTGGTTTTCCTGAAATTCACACATGGAGTATAGAATTCTTTCTTAGTATTTGTCAGGTACTTTTCCAGGTACTTTGCCTAACTCCTACCCTCCAGGTACTCAGAGCTCATTGGAGACTTTGCATAGTGTAGTTCTTAACCCTTCTTGATTTGCAAGTCCCTGAGCAGTCAGTGGCTCTGAGTCTGTAGGCTTTGGCTTCCTTAAGGGGAAGAATCTGTTCCAACTGAGAAGAGATTTCAGTGACAGTGAAGTGTCATTGTGAGCACACGCTGGGTAAATACCAATGTGTGTATTTCCATAACTACCACAGGTGGAATCCTATACCTATTACTGTGAGAACAGCCCTTGAGTTTCTCTGGAAAACCATACACTATACCAAGCAAGTCGGCGTTCCTAAGCAGTTGGCAGAGGACAGAAAACCTTCTGAGCTGAAGACTATTAGTACAAGTATTCATTTTTTAAATTAAATCCCAAGGAAATATGTACTGACTAGAAAAGAAGTAAGAAACCAGCTGCTTTTTGTTGGAAAAACAGCTTAATGGGGTATACTTTTTTCCCAAACGAGCAGGAGTTGAATTCTTTTTGTTACAGAAAATAGAATTATGTTGTTAGAAAAACAACAGCAACCAAAAACACCCAAATAATTTTAACCAGATTATTGCTTTAAACTACATTACTGCTTTAACTCGATAACCTTCCTTGACCTCTGCCATTTTCTTGCTGTTTAACTCTAGTACAACTTAGAAAGGGGCCCAGCTTTTCCCAGGTCTTCACTTTCCACCATGCATGTATGCATTTGGGTATATAGGCCAGTTTACCAAGGTGGCCAGTCAGAATTAGTTGGAGTTGATAATCGATAACTTTTTAAAGTAGAATGACTTGTCTAAAGGATAGAGCTATAGTTTTCTTTTCCCTTTAAAATACATAAGGTTGGAGGTTTTTTGCTAAATTTGGGTCTGTACTTTTGATTAATATGTAGAAGGTACTGTATGGCATTACAACCTATTTATTCTGCAAGGTTAGTAAGCATAGATGAGATTCAAGGAGAGGAATTTGGGAGGTAGGTAGATGAGCATGTTGGAAGCAGCTCTATCTCTTTTGGTTCTTCTTAGGAAAAAACAATTTTTTGCCTTGGCAAAAACAAGTAGTTTCTTTGTGTCCTGAAGAAAGTAATAGCAGCAGTGAGGAGGAAAGGGAGAAGAAGCAATTGTGTCTTTCTTTAACCCTCTTGTTACTGGGGCTTGAACCTAAGGCCTGAGATCAAGAATGTAAGTCCTATAAATGCTCTTGCTCTGTTTTTTCACTCATGGCTTGTGCCCTACTGCTTGAGCCATACCTCCACTTCCAGCTTTTTGCTAGCGAACTAGAGAGAGATGCCTGTGGATTTATCTCCCCAAGGCTGGCTCTGAATATCCACTCTCAGAGCTCAACCTCAAGAGCATCTGGGCTTATTGATGTAAACTACTAGCATCACACAAGAGACATAATTGTTTAATTTGCTGAATATGAAGTAAAGTTATTAGAACTGATTGTTTCCTTAAATAACCTTTTATTTATGATTTTCATGACACTTTCCTTTTTCTTGTAGTTATCTTAGACAATTTTAATTTCAAACTAGTCAACCTTTCACTAATTAAATCTCTATAAACTGATTTTTTTTTTACATCTCTCAAAGTGTATTTGAATTTTCAGACCTAAGTAAGTATAACTAATAATGATCATTTCTGCTATCATTTGTCTTTGAAATGGGCCAGATAAAAATATAGCTGATGTTTATGTCCTTTTACTTTAGTCATATGGCATGAGCTTGGGGATAGAAATTACCTCTAACTTTCAGCTTTTCTTGGAGAGGTTTGTAAATTAAGAACTGACACGTACTGAGAAATTGGAAAGCTGAGACAGGAGGGTAATGAGTTCCAGCGCTATACCAGGAGCTTGAGGGTAGCCTGGATTTTGTAGCAAAACCATGACTGAAATACAAGCAAACAAAAAATAGATTTGATTATAAATTTAAACGCTTGGAAATGATTCCTCCAGATGGTGATGGGGCTGAGGACAGATAGAATTGATCTGTCAAACTTGTGACCAGAATCTGCAGAGCATTCTTTTAGATGATAAAAAACTAAATTGGTTGTACCTTCAGTAGCAAACTATTATACATCCTTTCTTTTCCTCTGTTTTTTTTTTTTAGCATGAATAGTCAGTGATATTGGTATTCCTTTCTAAAATTCACTTACAAGGATCTAAAAGTATCTTATTTTAAGACCTAGAATCTTACCAAAAAATAATAATCTCAAAGGAATAAAATTGAACTCATCCAGGCTCCTTTCCAGTCTCAGATGTGTATTTTTACCTTTGCCCTTTACTCCCAGTAATGATCAGTTCTCCCTGATGAGTGATGACATTTATCTCCCTCCCTGGATAGGGAGGGGGGTCTTTCAGTCTCACTTATGTTACAGGATGTGATGACTTTCTGCAGGTCCTGTTTATGGATGCAGTGCAGCACTCTCTCGGTTCTCATGGACCCTTCAACTTGAGATATAGTTATACAGTGGTTTAAATAATCACTCACCTAACCAGTTGATGAGGATACTCTGCTTGCCTGTATTTGCTTCACGTTTATTAATAGAGAGTTAGAAAAGCACAAAGAGATGGGAAAAGATAATCTAGATGGATATAGAGGTTTCTTTACTTATTTTACAGACCAAACATACTTTCAGCCATTCATTAGGCTAGAGACTATAAGTCTTTTGGGTTTCTTAGAAATAAGTAACTTTGGGCTGGGACCATGGCTTAGTGATAGAGTGCCTGCCTAGCATGCATGAAGCCTTGGGTTCAATTTCTCACTGCCACATAAACAGAAGAAGCCAGAAGTGGTGCTGTGGCTCAAGTGACCTTTGAGCAAAAGAAGCTCAGGGACAGTGCCCAGGCCAAGTTCAGGCCCCAGGACTGGCAAAAACAAAACAAAAAACAAAATAAAAGTAACTTAAAGTTCAAATCTACTTCTAAACTAGAACCAACCATGGTTTGATTTTACAGAACTGTTAATGCTGTGGAAACAACAGAATTTACCTAACACCTGTTCAAGGCAGAAGCTTGATTTTATACTTCTATAAGATTCCAAATCCAGACAGCAACTTTTCAAAAGTTACCAGTTGTAATTCTTTGTACCTCACCATTTAAATAAGCAAAATAAATATATTCACAATTGGTATCAAGTAGGTAACAACGAAAATGATTTGAATTTGGCAAGAAACACGCTTGTTAGATTTTTTTCTTAAAAACAATTGGAATGAACTAATAATGTGTTTATAATCAAAACATGAATACATTGAGTAAATAACAATGACAATCACCTATTGCTCTAACATTACTGAAATTACCCTTCTTTAAGAAATTATGGATGTGTGTTGTTGTTTTTTAAAGAAGATACTGCTACTGTTCCAGATGATTATTTTACATCTTCTACAAGGCCTTTATGCTTCTTCTATTTTAGATATTTGAGATATTTGGACCTGTTGCACATCCGTTTTATGTGTTACGGTTTAATTCTTCAGATCACATTGAGAGTAAAGGCATTAAAATAAAGGACATGATGTACTTCGCTCCATCAATGAAAGACTTCACCCAGTATATATTCACAGAGAAACTTAAACAGTAAGTATTGGTTTGATATATTAGTTCTTCACTTATTTATTTTTTTCAGAGTCATCCTCATTGTTGGTATTTTATTTTTTTTATTTTTAATTTTTTTGGTTTTTTTTAATTATTATTTTTATTGTGAAAATACTGTACAGAGGGGTTACAATTACATGGGTAAGATAATGAGTACATTTCTTATCAAGCATTGTAGCCTCCTCCTTTGTTTCCCCTTCCCATCCCTTCCCATCCTCTCCTCCCCCCCCCACCAAAGTTGTAAAGTTCGTTTCTCCACTTAACGACTTGTACATCTCATTGTTGCAATGGATCCACCTGTATTCCTATTTAAACGATTTGTTTTTTCCCTTCCCCTCCACAAATTTTGTTGGTATTTTATAGTTAACTGATGTTTCTCTTCAAAAGAAACTCCAAGAGTTCTTTTATCTATTAACATCTTTGTAGAAATTATGTCTTAATTTTTTTAAATGTTGGCATGTTATGTGAGTTCAAGTAGAATAATTTTTCTATAAAAATAAATGAGTGTTTTGGAAGGATATAATGAACCACTGAAAAAGCATTGTCATATTAGGAATGGAAGAAAAACTGCAAGAAGCAGGGGATCTTACTGCTTACTCCCCAAAGACCCTACACTGAGTTGATACACAAATCCTTTTAAGTTCTAGCATTCCCTTTGGTGGGAACTTAAAAATGTGGACTGTGTATTTTTGTAGATAAGCTTTTGCAAGAAGTAGGAAGGAACTTTTAGTCAGTAAGTTGCCCTGGCACTTTGTGAAAGTATTAGTCCTTGCTGCTTAGCATAGAAGGTTTCTATATGAAAGAGATGAAAATTTTGTCTTACTGGTTTAACTCATTTAAAAATCCACATAATTAGCTGAAGCAACATTTTGCTAAATTGCTCTTCAGGTTTTGTAATGTCAGTTTTCCTAAATAACTGCTGACAGACAGGATGAGTTCAGTAGACATAAAGTCATGAAGATGTTAATGCATTTAAAAATAATGCCTGAAAATAATTAATACTTCATTTTTCTTTGAATGTTAAAGGATGCTATTGTGTATATGTCATATAATTATCCTTTAAAAATAAAGTATATGGCTTGAAATATAATCAAAAAGCTTTTATGAAAATGTGTCCAATTTGATTTTAAATAATAAGAGTAAGCTAAGTGCCAGTAGATTACACCTGTAATCCTAGTTACTCAGGAGGTTGAGATCCAGAACGTTGAGAACCTATCTTCAAAATAACCATCAAAAAACAGGACTGGATGTATGTTGAAATGGTAACAGCACCAGCCTACAAGTCATTTTATTTATTTTTATATTTTCTCATCTGTAGTTGGTGTTAAACATTTGTTGAATAGAATGTTACATGTTTCAGGTATTATGGAAATCAAAATGTCAAAACTCCTATCCTTTCTATATTTCAGATGTAGCTTCTTATCACCTTGACCCTCTAATCCTAATACATGTGTTTTTGTTTTTTTTTTTTTATAAACTACACATCATTTAAATAAACATCCATTATGATTTGGGTTTTTATTTGTTTTGTTTTTGGTGGGTGTTTTTTTTTGCCATTTTTATGTATTATAAAGTTAAAGAAAAGCCCATGTCTTCAACTTTATTTAGATTTCTGTATTGTTGGTTTATAAGCATCTAAGTGAGTCTCATCTTTTTCTAGGGATAGGGGGTCAGATGCATCCTGGAAGAATGATCAAGAGCCGCCCCCAGAGGTAAAAATAATAAACCTGATTACTCAGTGTTATACAAAGTAGGATGTGATTTCATCTTACGTTTACTTATTTACTCTTTATTATTAGCTTACAGTAGTTTCAAGGGGAGGATTTCATTGTTATATCAACATATCCTAATTAATCTCACCCTCTGTCACTCTCCCATACCTTCATCTAACAGTTAATCAGTTGCATCTACCTTGTAATTTCCTGTTCATATCAACTTCATTGATAGCTGATATAGGAAGAGTCATTATTTTTAAAAGGTTTACTCAGTTTGGTCAGTTGATCTTTAGGACATGAAGATATTTATTACACATGCTGCCCTCTTTTTGGAGGTATAAAATCGTTAGAATTTCTCCATGTTTTTTAAAAATACAGTTATCTTTCCACAAAGACACCTCAGTTTTCTTCATCGTATTTAGCAAGACAATAATTTTATACCCCAAGAAAGGCTGATAATCTAGTTGCTCTAACAAGATAGAATGAATTTGAGAGTAGTGTGTAAATGAGCTAATGATTTAATAGGAGTTCGGTTAAGCTCTCCATGGAGATAGTCAAGCAGATTGTCTTTGCTGAGTTCTTAGGAAGTTTTTCAGTATTGGGGAATTTAGATATTTTTCAGATTTTACTTTTAGCATTTTAGACTTATTTAAGCAGTGCCTAAGGTCATGGCACTTAACTAGTGAATGACCCTAGTATAGAATACACACCAAAGTGTGTCTTGTCTAAGTATCGTATACACGTAATTGTCCTTAGGGCTCTGTGCCTCCACTTAATGTTCTCTCATTAGATTTCCAGCACATTGTTACTGAATAAGACTTAAAAGTAAAAATTCCTAGAGGACTTGAAATTTCCTTTGTGATTTTCAGATTTTATAATGCACTCTGGTGTTTCAAGCGTAAGCATTAAAGCCACTAATTCTGTTAATTGCTTATGGTATTAGTTTAAGTTAATTGCAAACTGAAATCCCACATGCTATGTGCTGTTTGTTCTTCCTAGGTGTCAATCTGGATCATGAAATATATTGAGACTTGATTATGTAGTTGTTGATGACATTTTCTAGCCCAGAATAATTACTCTCCTGATGTTAATCATAGATTCGGATTTAATTGGAAAAATTTTGTACTGTGAAAAATGTTGGACAAGCTAAAGAACATAAAAAACTTTTACAAATGCATCTTATTCACTTGATAGTGTAATTCTGACAAATCTATGAGTTATGGTTGAATAAATGCTAAAGGGATGAAAGTTTGAATGACTTTGCAAATAGAAAAGTGTAAATTTCCTTCTGAATTTAGGAAATGTTAACAAAGTTTTCCCCAAGAAATCACTTCAAATAAATTATTCCTAGTTTAAATCCTTTAGCTCCCTCCTTTGCTCTTGAGATTATTTATTTCTTCAGAATGGCAGTATTCTATATCGCCTTTTCTGTTCTCTGATTTTGCTGTGTAAGAAGCTCTTACTGCCTCATTGAGCCATTTTCCCTTTTGTTCATATCATGTTTTTTCGTGTCAGCACATACCGTAACGGCTCCCTGAAGAGTCCCCTTCCTTTCCTGTGTCCCCATAAGATATTTACCTTAGGCAATCCATAGTAACATCTTTGTTTCCTTTTTCTCTTTTTATATTTTTATCTTCATCCTCCTTACACACTAAATTATAGTACTTGTTCATTGTATTATTTTGTCTTATTTTCTTTGTCTTTGTTTTTGTCCCAGAACTGGGGCTTGAACTAAGGGCACGCCCATCTAATTTTCTCTTTTGACTAATTTCAAAAGATGAAATATTTCCGTTTGATTTCAAATACTTTAATGTCTAACAGATGCAAGAATTAACTTGAATTTCAGAATCTTAACAAATTAACATCACTTAAAAAAAACTCACTGAGGAATAGCTGCATAGCAGACACAGGGTCGTGAATTCAACCTCTAAAATTGTACACACATGAAAAATAAATTATTAAATTATGCTGAGCATATCTGTTGTCTTAGCACCAGGAGGTTCAGGCAGAAAGACCATGAGTTCTAGGATATCCTGGGCTATAGAATGATGTCCTATCTCAAAACAAAATTCACATAAGGTACTAAGTTGATGTCTTGAATTTTTAATTATATACTATATGCATTATCTGTGTAACTACACTCAGCCATTAGTCAAAATGGAGTTTTGTGAGCTTTTTGTATTTTGCTCAAGGAGACTTCAAACTGATTGCCAAATCTAAACCCTGAGGAGCTAAACCTAAACCCTGAGTCACTGTCCTTGGCCTTCATATTTTTTTGTATGAAGCATAACATCTGTTTTCTAGTATTAATAGAAAAATAAAATATTCTAATTGTAAGAAACCATGAAAAAAAATCACAGTTTTCTATTGGATCTGAAGAGTATAAAATGTGCTTAGTCTCATTCCTCTTTGAGTTCCTTTGCCAGCTAACATCATGATAAGCCTTAAAGGCTGGGCTGGAGGTTAGACTACCAGTCAGGAGTGCTCATGGCTCAAGATTGCTAAGTGCTGTGATTTTAATTACCTATCTGAAGCTGTCTAGCAATTAAACAGACAAATAGAAAACTTGAGAATGTTACTGATTAATGGCCTGTGTTAATGAAGAGTCAATTAGGCAGTTAATTCAGAGATTAGCTGATAATACTGAGTATTGAAAAGGGAATCTTATTTTCCTGGTCAGCTTGTAAATAGCAGGTTTATTATCACCTCAACTATTGAGTTGACAAATACCTGGAATGTAAATCTGAATCCTTTTGTCTGCCAGGCCTTAGATTTCAGTGATGATGAAAAAGAAAAAGAAGCCAAGCACCGGAAGAAATCCCAGACTCAAGGTCGGAAAAAACTTAAATCTGAACTTGCTGAGCCAGGTGAGTGAATGCATTATATAACCATTCTGCATCTTCATTTACATCTGTGTCATTCATCAGCGCACAGTTGGAGGAGATAGCTAGGGTTGTGTCTCCCAACAACTAGCTAGCGTTGGAGGCGTTGGTATGGGATGGAGGGTGGAGAGGCTCATAAGAATTCATCTATAAACTTGAAAGATGTAACTTTCTTCCCAGGTACCAAAAATTAAGCCTCATTCCAGTCATTTGTGCTATCAGTACTTTTTTTCTGAAGAAACCCGTTTGCTTTATTTTTAGAATATGGTACAATATAATTACTTAACACCTAACTCATCGTATTTTTTTTTTACCATGCATTCCCATTTACTATGCTTTTCATCTTTTCCCTTTTATACAGTTAACCTTTTTGAGATCATTATAGATTTACATACAGTTGAATGCAGTAGTAGAGTGTTGTGTGACCTTCACCTCATGTAATTGCCTGATGTCACAGCCAGGGTTATTGACACTGCAGTCTGTTACAATCAAGACAGCTGTAACATTCCCATCACCAGAAAGCTCAGCTGCATTACCTTTCTATAGTCAAGGCCAAACTCAAGGCAACTACTTGTCTTTTCTGCACTTCTCTAACACTCTTTGTTATTTCGTAAATGTTATGATGCAATATATTACAATTAGGGAATCACTTTTGGATCTTATGTTTTTAGATATCCATTCAAGTTTATATGTATATGTATTTATGTATTAATATACTATATATTTTTTCTCTATATATGTATTTGTTTTATTCTTTTTATTAAATATTTTTATGTCGTCTTTCAGTAGTTGTTCAGAGGAGTTACCATTCAACAAAACAGTTCATGAAAACTGTGCATCTTGGTCAGTGTCAACCCTTCCATCATTTTTCCCCACCCCTTCCAGCCCCACCTTTTCCTTCAATTTTCTTAATTTTATAGCATAATGAATTTATGACCATATTCTCCCCACTTCCTCTCTTCATTCATTTGCCCCTTGAAAGAATATTGTTCCATTGTGAGAATATATCATAGGCTGATTAGCCATTCATCCATGAGAGAATATCTGTTGTTTCCAATTTATCCTTATAAGGAATAAAGCTGAAATCAATATTTGTGTGCAAGATTTTGGGAAAAGAAATGATCATTGATCAAATATTCAAGAGCGCAGTTGCTAGGTCGTAGAGAATTACATTGCATGCTCACTTTCTTAAGAAACTCCCTCCTGCTTTTCAGAATGGCTACAGCATTTTACATTCTCGTCAGTAATACACAAGTGACTCAGATTCTCTATATTCCCACCAGCAGTTGGTGTTGTCATTATTTATTTTATGAGTGTACTTGTATCAAACTGTTGATTTAATTTGCATTTGACTAATGGTTAATGCTATTTTCTTGTGCCCATTGGCAATACATATAAACTCTGATTACTCAAATGTCCATGTACAACTTTTTTTTTTTCCTGGCAGGGCAGGGTGAGGTGGGGGGGCGTACTTGAACTCAGGGACTAGGCACTGTCCCTGAGCTTTTATGCTCAAGGGTAGTACTCTACCACTTGACCCACAGCTCCACTCTGGCTTTTTGGTGGTTAATTGGAGATGAGAATCTCATGGACTTTCCTGCCCAGCCTGGAACCATGATCCTCAGATCTCAGCCTCTGATTTGATGCCATCACCGTTGTGGATGTTTGAATTCTAATAAGGGTATGGTTGCATCTCAATGCTTTAACTAGAACTTCCCTGATTACATAAGACAACAGTATTTTCATGAGCAAATTTACCATCTGAACGAAATACCTGTTGAGGTCTCCAGCCATTTTTTAATCAGATTAGAGTTTTGTGTGTGTGCACATATGGGCACACACAAGTTTTATCAAAGATTTATTTATACTAGTTACTAGTATACAAAGTTTAGTAGAGAAGTAGAGTTGTATATTTTTTATACCAGTCTTTTATTAGTAGGTCTTGCAAATATTTTCTCCTAGTCTGTGATGTTTCTTTCATTCTCTTGACAGTGTTTTTCACAGCAGAAAGAATTAATATTAAAGAAATTCAGCTTAGCAATTCTGTTTTCATATATCTTATGTGTATAAACTCCAGATTGTGTATAAACTCAGTTTTCTCCTATGTCCTATTTTAGAAGTGTTAGAATTTTGCATTTTACATTTGGGTCTGTGATACATTTTGAGTTTGTCTAATGATTGAGTTGGAGTTGAGTGCTGATTAGGGTAACGTTTGTTTCTAAGGTTTTTGATTTTTTTAAAATTTGTTTTTATGTGCTCTTGTGCAGTTGTCCATCCCAGCCCCATTATTGACAAGCCAGCCTTGCTTTATCCCGTTAGCCTGCTCTCCTGTCAGGGATCACTTGGTTTTACTTATGTGGCTCTGTTTCTGACTTTCTTCTCTCCCATTGATCTGTTTGTTCTTTCACTGATATCATACTGTTTTGATCATCATAGGTTTATGACAGTAAGTCTTGAAGTTGAATATTGTCAGACTTCAGGCTTTACTCTTTGTATTATTCATTTCCCTTTCTTTTTCACTATCACTATGTAGAGCTCTGAAATTTATATTTATATCTTTAACTTTTTATCTGATTTTTTAAAGGTGTATTTTATTAGACTGTTCATAATCTTTTGTTGAAGCATCTTTGTGATTGAACTATCTTAATTGATTCAAACATCTGTGGATTGCCTTGATTGATTTTCCTTTTTTATTGGATTTGAAATCTTTTGATTCTCTTGATAATGAGTTATTTTGTATGGAAATCTGAATATTTTGAGTTTATACTATGAAATCTTACATGTCTATTTTAACTCAAGATCGTTTGCTTTTCAAATTCTGCTCTGGCAGGAAAAGGAAGCGGGCAGGAAAAGGTAGAGGTCCACCGAAGTCCAGGTTTTTCAGGTGGCCCCTCAGTTCTCATGGGTAAAGGATAGCTCTTGCCCGTGAAAATGGGGAAGCCTTCTCATCTGCCCTCGGTCTCTTGTGGCTGGCTGAGCATAGGACAACTTCACCACTGATCCTAATGGAGCGCGGGACAATGCCAAGTCAACACTACACTCAGTCTCTTCTGACAGTGTCCCACCACATGAGGCGAGGAAAAACTCCTGCCCTGGTGGAGATGGAAGCTTAGTTTTCCCATTGCAGGAAGGCCTGCATTGGGAGGTGCCTGCTCCCTCTGCCCTCAGCGCCCTCGGTGGCTCCTTAGAACAGGCTGCCAAGGATAGCAGCGCCCCTCCCTACTTACCTTTGGACCCCCAGAGTCAGATGATGGTTTTTTTGTGTGGCGTGGCTGATTATCCAAATGTTTTCTGTCTCATTAGGTAGGTAGGCTTTCTTTTTCCTGACTTTACAATTCGTTTAAAGTGGACTGCCATTTATTAGTAATTAAAGAAAAGACATTGAATTTCAACTAATGCTTTTTGACATACTAACCGTAATTTTAATTTGCTATATTTGTCTCCTGTTTGAAGGTGAAGATTTCTCCGAGGTGCATCAGAATTGGAATGCCTACAGCTCTTCCGAGCATTCAAAGGGCTATCGCAACCGAGAATTCACCAGAGGTTTTCCCAGGGGCCGGTATCCTCGACCCAGCCACGGCAGGCCTCCACCTCAGCAGTTTTATGGCTCAGACCATCTGGTGTCTCCAGAGACTTCCGGATTTCCACCGCAGAGACAAGATAATCCTTTCATGCCCCACTATCCCTTCCCGCCTCCATCCTTCGACATGCATAACTTCTCACTCCCTCCACCTCCACCCCCCTCTGTAAGCATGGGCTGGGCCACACCCAACATGACACCTCACCCCTATCATGTACCATACTCTCTGCCTCCTCCGCCTGCACCTCCACCCCTGCCTCCCCCACCCTCTCCTGGGGATAGTAATTCTCATTTTAGACCTTATTATTAGATGTGTGCATGCATTTCCAGAGAAATGTGCATTATGCAGATTACATGTGTTCAGGATTTTTTTTAAGAAAAAGATTATAAAGCTAGATTTTTGAAAACTATAAAATATTAGATGAGCTGTAAGTTGATATATATATTTGTAACCTTTGTCACCTATTATATTCATATGAAAATTTCATCTCACTCTTAGGGGAAAAAATCAATCATGTAATACTTAATTAAAATTGAATCATGCCTTCTGCTACCCTCAACCCCATGGAAATAAATAAAGTAGTGGAGTGGAGTGAGCATTGTCATGGATTAACATATGTTAGACACCGGTAGCATTTTTTTGCTACCATCTGAAAATAAGATGTTGAAGTCCTATTGAGAGTCTTTAAAATAAACTATTTTTTATAAACTCATACTTTGGAAATTTATTTTGATTTTATTGCAGTTTAGCCGTAGTTATTTAAATACTTCTTTTTAAAAATGTAAGTGAAGGACATCGAGGAGAGAAATCTTATATCCTAGCAGAAGCTCTGAGCTTCGATGAACAGAAGTTAATATCTCTTTGGTTTGCATAAGCAAATTTTTCCATTATGTAGTTGTCCACCTGTGAGGTACTGTTCAATAGTCTTCATTACTTAACCCTTCAACATGTGTTTAGGGATCAGGCATAGTGGTACATATCTGTAATCCCAGCACTTTGGAGACTGAGATTGAATCAGGAGGATTGCTAGTTGGAGGCAGGCCTGAGCCGAATAGGAAGAGCCTCCATGTCCCCCAAAACCATATTTAAGGACTTCCACATTTTTTTACACGCCCACACAGAGTAGATATTTGGGAAATACTATTGAAATACTGAAGAATGTAGATTTTTAAATGAGCAGTGACATTTAATAGCACTGAGCATGTGAAGTTACGAGTTTTAGAATTTTGAGGCCTTTAAAGTAGTCTGGATTATCTTGTTATTAAATGAGGAGCCTCAAAGTAATGCTTCCTCCTGAGCATTCCTCAGCACAGCCTGGACCGGTGTCCTGTGGCACCTGCCTGTGCACTGCGTGGCTGCATTCTCAGGGCAGAGATTGAGAAGCTCTGCCCTGATAAAGGGTGGCTGATCAGCTGTAGTTTTCATTTTTATTATTGGGAGTGTGGTCTTGGCTTGTCATTAGAAGGGTTAACTTCATGATTTACAGAATTGTGTTTCTGGTAGAATTTCTGGCTGATAGATTGTATCTTAAAGCACTAAAATCTCCCAAATCCTGTTCTATCAGAATGGAAAGAACACAAGATGCTAACTAAGTTAAGCAGTTGTGATTATCATGGTTTCCCATGCTGTTATCCAATGACACAACTGCACTGTACCATTTACTTTCAAATAACTTAGTACATTCACCACTTAGGCTCAATTTACCTTCCTCCCTATTAGGTAATTTGTTACCATCTACACTATCACTCAATATACTCAGGGCACTAAAGGAAACTTCCACATACTTGTGCCCCTTTCTGCAAATAATTTTTTTTTCTGTTTTTCATAACAGAGATCTTCCCTGGCTTCCCACATGCCAGGCAAGGGCTCTGCCCTAAAGCTTTTTTTCTCACCCTAAGACTTTAATCTAAATGAATGTGAATATAAAGATACAGATTATATGTACTTAAGTTCTAGAAAGCCACAGAATCATTTATTATCCTATGGCTGAAATTAGAGCTGAGGAATATTTCATTAATACTATTTTCCAGATGAAAACATTTGTTTTCAGCTACTAACACCAGTGATGTTCTCACTTAGTGCCCTGCAAATGAGGTACAAATCTGTATCAAATGGAAAAGCATTTATAAAGATAAGCAATGACGAGAAATATTGAATATTCTTTATACTAAAAAATGTAGTCATGCCAGGCACCGGTGGCTCACGCCTGCAATCCTAGCTACTCAGAAGGCTGAGATCTGAGGATCGCGGTTCAAAGCCAGCCCGGGCAAGAAAGTCAATGGAACTCTTATCTCCAATAAACTACCAGAAAACCAGAAGTGGTGCTGTGCTCAAGTGATAGAGTACTAGCCTTGAGCTGAAGAACTGAGGGACAGCACTCAGGCCCAGAGTTCAAGCCCCATGACAAAAAAAAAAAAAAATTATATATATATATATATATATATAGAGAGAGAGAGAGAGAGAGAGAATCAGGCACATTTCTAAGGAACATATTCAGGAAGTCAGGCAAGTTTGCAAGTTTGAGGCAAGCCTCTAGTCTCAAAAAGCTTAGGAGCAAGACCCTGTTTCAAAACAAAAACCCCAAAGAGCTGGAGGAGTCTGGAAGTGCTGTGTACTTGCCTTTCATATGTTGGGTTCAGTCTCCAACAGTGATATATATACATATGATATACATACATATGTAAAATATATATAGAGAGAGGTAGATATATATATATATATGTATATGTATATCAGTGTCTGTGCATTCAAATAAGGTAAAGCCTGGTTCTAAGAGCTCAGTTGTTTAGCATCCTTCAGTTCTACTTTCACAAGGCTAATGGGATGAGAATGAATTTTACTTTTCAATACCCTGTGGTTAGTCATATCTCTCTATCTGCCAAACAGAACAAATTGACCTTGTTTGTGTGGTGAAGGTTTTTATTTATATTGAGCATAGATGGGTCAAAAATATTGTTTCTAACAAGAGCATGCCCCCAGATAATAACAAAATAGGACAAATACAGAGGAAGAAAGTCTAATAGCATAGAATCTATTAAAATACAGTAAGTAGATGATGGTGGTGTGCAGTGTTTAGATGGTAGAAATGACTAAAATGTTGTCAGTACTAATAGCTAGTACAGCATGTGGAACCTGTTATTGTACCTCTTAACTCTTCAGAGCTTTTATGATGTGTGCCGTGACATCCCCAGAAGCCTTTGAGTTCCCTTCCCCAGCTCTTAAAGTACCTATTTGTTTGTGTCATGCAGTGTTCTATCAGTGTCAGACTCAATTGTGGAAGCTGCCTTAGTGTGTGCTCATTCAAAGCAAATGATGAGTTGCCTTTAACATCAGTTTGGTTTTTGGCTGTGTATAATGGCTGTTATATTCGTTAGTGTCATAATATGAGTTCTGATTATTTCAGTTTAGCGTGACTATGCACAGGGAAGTATTTAAGAGGAGAGAAAAAGTTGCTATGGGCATAATTTTATGGATGTATTCAAATAGCAGTACTTTGAACCACATCAAATTGCCAAAGATGGCAATATTCTTATGGTCCAATTGAATACATTATTTTCTGTATTTGCCTTCATAGCACATCTCCCTGCCCACAGCGCTCCTCGGGGCCTTTGGGAAGTGCTCTTGTGGAGGCTAGTTGGCAGAGATTCGTGGTCGCAGACATTTCTGAGGTACTTCATCTTGCTGAGAAGCTAGCTATTAGATCACAGAGTAAACAAAAAGATAGATTTTTTTTCACACTGTTAAAGTCTGATTTTTAAAGAAAAAACCATTACTATGAGGGAAAAGATTATTCATTTTGCTTTTGTAAAATGCAATGATTTCCAAATCAGAGTTGACAAAGTTTCTCCAAAACCAATTCTAGGAGGCTATTGTGTGAAGCCAATATAGAAGATTTTCAGGCCCTAGAGCAAAGTCCTGGGTTTCAAGAGTCAGATCTGGCTACTTAAAATGTCTAATAGAAGATGAGTATTGGTGAGTGATAAAAGAAGTTTATTATGCAACATAGGCAGCTTTAAAAAATGTTGTTGCCATTCTCTTTAAGAAGGATGGTAAATTGGGACTGAGTGCATTCCTTAACACCACACAGAAATAAAAGACAAATCTAACCGGGTGCTGGTGGCTTATGCCTGTAATACTAGCTACTCAGGAGGCTGAGATCTGAGGATTGTGGTTCAAAGACAGCCCAGGTAGGAAATTCCATCACTTTAATCTCCAGTAAACCACTCAGAAAACTGGAAAAAGTGGCTCTGTAGCTCAAGTAGTAGAGTGCTAGCCTTGAGCTGAAGTGTTGAGGGACTGCGCCCAGGCCCAGAGTTCAAGCCCCACAACCGACCAAAAAAAAGGGGGGATTGAGGTGTCTCAGTGGTAGAGTGCCTTGCATGCATGAATGAAGCCCTGGATTCAATTCCTCAGCACCACATAAGCAGAAAAGGCCAGAAGTGGTGCTGTGGCTCAAGTGATAGAGCGCTGGCCTTGAGTTGAAGAGCTGAGGGACAGCGCCCAGGCCCATAGTTCAAGCCCCACTGCTCACAAAAAAAAAGATAACTCTATGGCCTGTTATGAGGGTTCATTTCTTGTTAATCTTGTAAGATTACATCCATGCTGCATAAATATGACAGGGTTCTAGCTTTTAGAGGTAGGGTAGTGGATGATGTATGTATATATAAGCTTTCCAAGGAGTTTAAGAATAAGAAGGAAACATTTCTATTATTCTTCAAATTCTAAGAGGTATTATTTTCCTTTCAAGACATTCTCTGCTTTATAAAATAGCTTTAGGATAAGGAAGCTACTGGAAGCTATTCACTAGGTTTACTTGTGAAATACAGAAAGAAAAGAATATTAAAAGCAAAAATTCAAAAATACCTTTAAGCAACTGAGAAGTACATATAATTTGCTGCTAACATGTCTATGAAAGACCCACTCAAGTGAGGCTGAATGTTGGTCTGTTCATTCAGTGAACATTTGTTGTGTGGTTGATGATTATTTGTTTGATGATGAGGATACAGCCCTTAGCAAATACACAAGTCCAACAGGTGCTATTGTACTAGGTTATACAGGTTTGTTTATATAGGTTATAGCCTATAGGAACCACAGAGAGAAGTCAGATTTACCCCCAGTGGAGAAAAAAAGTAGGACAATAAATCACAGAAAATGGGATTCTAGGGCTGAATTGTAGAAAATAAGAGATAAACTTGAGAAAAGCTGTGAACTATAAAGCAGCTTGGTAAATGCGGATGCCGGGAGACAGCTAGGTAGGTGTGGGTGGGAGAGCGTATGGAGATATAGTGAAGGAAAGCCATCCCTGAAGCCAGAAAGAACTGAAAGCCAGATGACAACTTTGGATTTTATCCTAGAAGTGATGGGGAGCCCTATCCACATGATTCCCTACTGAATTCATGACTTGTTTTATGTTTTAGAAGTTGTCACTCTCCTGGAGAAATGAATAAGGAAGGGGAGAATGAGAGGCAGGCTAGGAAATGATTGATAACAGCACAAGAGATGGTGAGGAGGAGGACTTACTAGTGGTTATATTGTGGGTAATGAGGTTGCTCAATAGGAGTTCAAGGAACCCGAATTGAATGGGACTTGGAATCCTGGGTTGAGGTAGGAAGGATAAAAGACCTAAGAAAAGTTCTTCAGGATTATGATTTGCAGGTGTCAGTTCATGGAAGGGAAAGGTATGTTTCTGTATGGTTTTAATCCTTTAAACTT